CATAGAGCCATCAAATATGCTTAGTCGTGCCTGTTCGTGTCGCCCAGTACATTTTCAGCTTCGAAGCCACGACCAAAGCTGATCAGCTCTTTAGGCTCCTCCTTCTTTTCCCATCTGAATTCACGCAAAAGTTCAGGGCTTAAATATTTTTTTTTTTTAACTGATGGAATTTTTTCTATTTTGCCGAGTTTTACACGGAAAGTGCAATTCCGTATTACAATAAGAGCCTATGTTTGACCAGCTGTATATATAAACTCCAGAGATAGGGATTTTAAAGAAAAGACATCCGTCATTTCTGATATAATTTTATTGAATGATCTTTTGTATGTTTCTTAAATTCTACTTGGCTGAGGGCCAGCGTAGCTGCGCCGCCAGCAACGCCGGCAGCGGAGCGGCCGCATTTATATGTTTGTTATATATGCCCAGCGCTGTTGATAGCGGGGGCGCGAGGGGAAGATCCACATGCTTGTGTGGATCATATTCAAGTGCCGTCGGCTACGCTATACATGCCGACGCTGCACTAATGTAGTACCAGGCATATATGTGTGATCGTATTTTGTCGACTGAATATGCCTGGAATGTTTATTGCATAAACACTGCAACAAAGTGTTACAGTGTGTTCCCTTTTAAGTATCTTGGTACAGTGGGTATTGGCTATATATATGCATACTACATCTCCCTCCTTTTGAAAAATAACGTAATATTTATGAAGTTATTTTATAATTTTAATATGATAGTTATTTAGAAAAATATATTTAGAAAAAGAAAAATTTTTTTTTTTTTATTAAATGAATTTAATACTAATACATACATATATATCCCATAGTTCAAAAAAATTTTTTTTTTTTTTTTTTTTTTTTTTTTTTGTTTTAGTAAAGAAAATTAAAAAGATTTGATATATTCCTATAGATATACTTATGTATGGCCATACTAATTCTATCTATGAGTAAAAAAGTTTTCAACTGAAAATAAACTCACATTCCTAATAGATACTTTTTACAGTCACAACTTGAGTAGGAACGGCTCTGTCAATACATCCTCTCTTTTTAATAGATGAGTATCTTTCTACATTATTGTTGGGAACAAGACACAAGATTAATTTTGGATCCATGCGCGTACAATCATCCATAGCGCGCACATATGTCGCAGTGCGATCATCGTAAATTTTTAATTCATGTGGGCTTCTTATTTTCAGCCCCATACCAGAAGCGGCACGAAGCAAGTTTTCAAGCAAATTTTTAAGGTCAAAGGAATTGCGCTCCGGTGCAATTACGGCCCACAGGTCGAGACCCTCACTGGGAGTTGTGAGCAGCCGTTGGTCACGGAAGCATCTTGTCCAATCGGCAGTTTCGCCAGCAGAACATTTTGATTGATTAAAGACAATTTTCTGCGGTGGAATTATCCGTCCTTGTACTTCTGTCAGATTTTCATCGAGTTTCATGTTCCAGTCTTTTAGTACCTTCACACTATCGGCAGTGGTTTGCAAACGATTGTTGAATCTACGCAAACGATCAATGCGGCGGTCAGGATTCATGCGTGTGTGCTCTGACATTGCTCGCATTAGTTGAAAGTAACTCGGCATAGCTCTGGAATAAGAATTACGACATTCATACAACTAATCCTAAATAGAAGCGAACAAGTATTTTCAAAATTAAAGAAAAATTTTCCAGAACAATTCAAAAGTCAACTAACAGAATTATGCACCAAGTATAATGATGTGTTCGGACTGGAAACCGAACCATTAGCGACAAATAATTTGTATAAACAAACATTAAGACTTAAAGATGATGAACCAATTTACATTAAAAACTACAGAAGCCCGCATAGCCACGTGGATGAAATTCAAAAACAAGTAGGGAAATTAATAAATGACAAAATCGTAGAACCGTCTGTATCCGAGTATAACAGCCCACTCTTGTTAGTTCCAAAAAAAAAAAAAATTATTACCAAATTCGGAAGAAAAGAAATGGCGATTAGTAATTGACTATCGCCAAATCAACAAAAAACTACTTTCTGACAAATTCCCGCTCCCCAGAAATGATGATATTCTAGACCAACTGGGCAGAGCTAAATACTTTTCATGCCTTGACTTAATGTCAGGTTTCCACCAAATTGAAATTGAAGAAAATTCAAGAAATATAACATCTTTTCCATCTTTCTAGATTATGTAAAAAGAATGTTCCTTTTGAATGGTCAAGTGAATGCCAACACGCATTCCAATACCTTAAAGAAAAGCTTATGCACCCCACATTATTACAATATCCTGATTTTCGCAAAGAATTTTGCATTATAACAGATGCTAGTAAACAAGCTTGCGGAGCGGTTCTAACTCAGAACCGTGACGGAATTCAGCTCCCAATAGATTATGCATCTCGTTCATTTACAAAAGGGGAAAGTAACAAAAATACAACAAACAAGAACAATACTAAAAGTCACTACCAGAAACCAAAGTAAACAGAAAAATTCCTGCGCAGGAACAGAAAAATTAGATTTGCCTAGGCAAACTCTAAATAAAGCTTCTCAGCCCAACGTATATGAAGTCATTGTAAATGACGAAGTACGAAAGGTAGTGACCTTGCGAATAACAGATTCAAAATGTTTGCTAAAACATGGAAAAAAAGTTATAGCAAGAATTGATGTTGGCAATATGTACACCAATGGAATTCTCGATTTAGGTCAGTTCTTCCAAAGGCTTGAATTACAAGCCGGTATACTAAAAATTAGCCAACTCAAGATGGCACCGAGCGATAAGATCTTTGAAACTATTTCAATAGAATCTTTTAAAATAATGGGCAATAAGATACTAAAATCATTAAGAGTAGCGCTACTCAAGCCGGTGACCCAAATAAATAATGAGAAAGAAAAAGAAGCTATACTGTTTACATACCATGACGATCCCATACAAGGAGGACATACAGGCATAACAAAAACCTTGGCCAAGGTCAAAAGATATTATTTCTGGAAAGGTTTAACTCGCGATATAACCAAGTACATACGAAAATGTCCAAAATGCCAAAAAGCGAAAATAACTACGCATACTAAAACTCCATTAACAATAACTGAAACACCTGTGAATGCTTTCGATATAGTGATAGTGGATACAGTTGGTCCGCTACCTAAATCGGAAAATGGCAATGAATACATAGTCACATTAATATGTGACCTTACGAAATATTTAGTAGCCATTCCAATAAAAAGCAAAAGCGCAAATAATGTCGCAAAAGCTATATTCGAAAATTTCATACTCAAGTTCGGTCCAATGAAGACGTTCATGGGACATGGGAACAGAGTATAAAAACCAGATTTTAACTGATTTATGCAAGTATATGAAGATCAATAATCTCACCTCTACTGCATATCATTATCAAACATTAGGGACAATAGAACGAAGTCATCGAACATTCAATGAATACATTCGTTCATACATCTCTGCAGACAAAACTGATTGGGATGTCTGGATTCAATATTTCACTTATTGCTTCAACACAACACCATCAGCAACGCATGAGTATTGTCCATACGAACTAGTACTTGGCAGACTACCAAAACAGTTCATAGATTTAAACAAAACTAATTACATAGATCCGATTTATAATTTAGATGACTATTCTAAGGAAATAAAGTTTAGACTAGAAATAGCATACAAAAGAGCTAGAATTATGTTAGAAAAAGCCAAGGCTTATAGGAAATTAGCATATGATGAAAAAACAAAAAGTGTTGAATTAAAAGTAGGAGATAAAGTACTTATAAGAAACGAAACAGGGCACAAATTAGACCCAGTATATTTAGGACCATACATAGCAGAAAAAATAGAAGATTATGACAACATTTTTATTAAAAATAGTAAAGATAAGAAACTAAAAGTACATAAGGATAGGCTAAAAAAAAAAAATATATTCAATAGAACGTTTCATGAAAAAAAAAAGGGGTCTGATCAACCAAAAAAAAAAAAAAATTTTGTTCTCGTTATTCTTCTAAGAAAGTTAACAATAAAATAAAACATAAATTCAATTATATTAAAAACAAGAAATTTGTCACTAAACACAAATGGAAAAAAAAATTAAACCATTTTCAATACATAAATTTATAATAAGTAAACAAAAAAAAAATTTAATTAATTTCTTTTAAAACAATTAAATACAATATATTAACGTTGACACTAAATGACTACATGTATTACGTCATTTCTTTAAAAAGGGAGGTGTAGCATATCTACCCTACCATTTTCATAAATCAAAGGGTATAACAATCCGTTAATACATTGTGACACTTTGTCATAATGAATACAAATATACAAATGCCCGAAGACCACTAAGAATTACATAAACATTCCAGCGCACAAGCAATACGATCCATCGCTTATATACAAGCCGATCGCGGAGCGTGGGAATGCTGAGCATGCACTTTGCAGCTCAACCCATACACGACATATGCATGCCTTCTGCATACATATGTATATACATATATATAAATACATAGATATAAGCATTGCATGTTTTCGGGTTAGCTGGACCCAAGATCAGTATGTAAGAATCATTCTAAATAAAGTAACAGAACGGAGCAGACGCTCCTATAAAAAGATTAACAATCAATTTATTAAGGAAGAACATTACACAGCTCTTTGGACTTCTTTCCGCATGCATTAATCATTTCACTTAATACGAAAAAAATACAATAAAAAGGTGTGGCCGTTAGGCGCCTTTGAGTCAAAAAAGTGTTTTATCTTTGCGATCATATTAAGAGGACTAAGCGGTGGCAATTTATTGTGTGATCTTCTGCGGTTACGGAGACATATATCAATCTTCCCGTATTAGCGACTCGTATAAGCCGGTGGACAGATCTTTCTGGAAAAATTTCCAGCGGAAGTATGGGAACATCAAAACAACCTTTGATGCGGTTTCCATTCTACTATATTAATGGATATCAAATAAAACTTTTAGAAAAGTTGTCCAGCGCAGGGGGAGGTGAGTTTGCACGGAAAGTGCAATTCCGTACTACAATAAGAATAAAAGAGCCTTCTTTTGACTAACTGTATGGACTCGTTTCCGCATGCAGTGCTTGAAATTGAGCTTGCTTAACAATGCATATTGAGAAAAAAAATATGTTATTGTCATTGATTCGAAGAGTCATTCGTAGGGATTGGATGTGGTTCATCAGCCTTCGTTCCGTGGCTCGGAAATTCTTCTCTGATCGTTTTCGACCTGTACGTACGGTAGTTTTTATTTTATTTTTTATTATTTGACTTAGCGTAAACCAAATTTGTAGCTCTTTTTTAAACAAATTTAAGTCTGACTATTATTTCAATTGGGCACTCGCCTACTAGCCTACTGCCTTGCAATTCCCATCCTCCGACCATGGCAGCAGCCCGATCTGCTGCGGCTGCGCCCTATCCGGCACCTGCTTCACATCCACCCGCTGGCCAGCCAAAGAGAAATTTTTTGCCTCGCGTCGCAGGACTCAGCCGCCGAGGTCAGACGCCACTGGCTCGGCCAGTACCCAACAAGAAGGCATTACCTCATCCTCAAGAATCGCCGGGTGCGGCGGTGCTGGGCAGCGCCAATCCCAGCACCAGTAGCAATGGGGAGACCGGCGAACTGGTCGCTCAGATCGGTCAGGCACATGGCCAGCGCAGGGGGGAGGTGCACCACTCCAGCTTCGTGCACCTGTCGGCGACGGATGCCAATGCCGAGGTGCCCCGACGGAGCGACGATTCCTATCCACACAGAAGCACGAACAGTCGTGCCACCCATATCACTGACCTGACCTACGATGTTCTCATCAATCAGAATGAAAATCAGATGTCCGCTGCCGCGAGCTGGAGCGAACTATCCTGGGACCAAGGGGACGTGGAGGCGTTAAACGATAGCTACCAGCTGCTGAGCGAGACGGACGTTGGCATTGAGACGGCCAGGCCCAGCCGAAAAGAGGCCACGACAAAGCAGCTGGGGCCCTCGAAGTCCTCCGCTGCTAAAAAGGAGCCCAAGAAGAGAACGGCACCGATAAATAGACATCTGAAAAGGGAGATAGAGACACTGAGAATGAAGAACGAACGGTTGCAGGCCAATATACAGGCCGTTATCAATCAGGGGGATCGCACTGAAGGAGGAGGCCCGCCAACGGCACCACCACCCAAATCACACCAAAAATCAGCTAAGCCAACAATCAAGACCAACGCGAACGCCACCACCGCAACCGCAACCACAATCAACGATGAGATGATGGTGGACTCCAGAGATAACTGGAGTAGCTGCACCACGTCATGCGACAGCTTCACATCCATCAGTCCCTCTATGCAGCCCTGCTACTGTGCCAACTGCAGGCCCAAGCGTGAGCAGAACCGGCAGACAGGTCGGATTCCGGCACGTTGAGCACGTGGCGAGCGTAAAGCCTCGCATCAGCGCATGTTAAATTTCGAATTTTGAATTTTTTGACGAGTGTGAGTTTTTTTCGAGGTGTTCTCGCAGCCTGGATGGAGACCGGCGAACTGGTCGCTCAGATCGGTCAGGCACATGGCCAGCGCAGGGGGGAGGTGCACAACTCCAGCTTCGTGTACCTGACGGCGACGGATGCCAATGCCGAGGTGCCCCGACGGAGCGACGATTCCTATCCACACAGAAGCACGAACAGTCGTGCCACCCATATCACTGACCTGACCTACGATGTTCTCATCAATCAGAGCTCTCACGGGCTTAGTCAGAGGAAGGCGTGTGTGAATGGATTGTTGGTGTGTGTGTGTGTGCGTGTTAGGAGGGCTTGTATAACAGTTATAAGGCCACAGAAACGAAACACACTATCGCATGCACTCTCTTTTTCTCTATACATACATACTTGTACAGACATACATACGTACATGGTTTAAAATTTCCGCTGATTTGCAAATCTCGGCTGATTTGCAAAACTATATCAGTGTTGTATTATTATATATATATCAGTGTTGTGTAGTATGCATATATATAGCCAATACCCACTGTACTGTGCCTGGTACTACATTAGTGCAGCGTCGGCATGTATAGCATAGCCGACGGCACTTGAATATGATCCACACAAGCATGTGCATATTCCCCTCGCGCCCCCCGCTATCAACAGCGCTGGGCATATATAACAAACATATAAATGCGGCCGCTCCGCTGCCGGCATTCCTGGCAGCGCAGCTGCGCGGCCTTAGCTTAAGCTATAACTGTAAGAATATCAGAAATACATTGAATAAAGTTATATCGAAGGAGACGGATGTCTCTGTTTAATAATTCGTATTTACAGTTGTATTATTATATATATATCAGTGTTGGTTGCCAATATTTTTTATTGCTCTTTTTTATTGCGCGCAATTCAAATAAGTTAACTGCAATTAGAGCTAGACAAACTAAAAGAGCTAATCATGCAAAGATAGCTAAGAACTAGTACTAATTAGAGGAAAGGTATGTTAATATTAGTAATTTAAGAAGAGGAAGGGAATTAGTAGTGGATATTATATGGTAGAGTAGAGCGAATTATAATCCGAGTTTAAGACCCTAAAGTAGAAGGAACAAAGTAAAGTTTATTTTATTTAATTTTTATTTTTTTTAATATTCAATGATTCATTAATTTTGACCCTCTTCAGATGCTCTTTTGTCAAACTGTGATAGGCGAAACTTAATCCATTCTTATTGCACAATTTGCAAAAATATTCCCGGCGGTCTTCATCAGATGAATGAATCTTTGTCATGTGAAACTTAAGGCGTTCCAAAGAGTTCAAGTGCATGTTGCATACTTCGCATTTTTACCTGCCCATGCCCATGAATAGCGATTTCATGCCTCTTTAGTGACTCTGCTGTTTTCACCTTAATTTTGCATTGATTGCAAGAAAAATTGTAGTCGCTTGTATGCTTTTGTATGATGTGTCTCTTCAGGTTGCAACGTTGTACAAATGCAGCAGGGCAAAGTCTGGAAAAAGGTATAAATTTATTTAATTTTACTAAATATTTTGAAGTTTCATATACTACTCGCAGGCAAATTCCTTTACACCCCCTGCGCTTTTAGGTGTAACATGATATGCCATTTTAATTTTGACTTAAACCTGCACATCCATTCAAATGTGCAGTGGTACTCCTATCGATTATTAAATCCTGCCTCAATTTCGGTTCGGTCATTTTTGGTGATCCCAAGGGGGAGGTGCCAGTCCAGCCTTATCTTCGGCCTTATACAAATTTGAAATTTCCTCTGCCAGGCGAGTGCAGTGGGGGCCGATGTCGAGCGTGCCACCCATATCACTGACTTGACCTACGATGTTCTCATCAATCAGAATGAAAATCAGATGTCCGCTGCCGCGAGCTGGAGCGAACTATCCTGGGACCAAGGGGACGTGGAGGCGTTAAACGATAGCTACCAGCTGCTGAGCGAGACGGACGTTGGCATTGAGACGGCCAGGCCCAGCCGAAAAGAGGCCACGACAAAGCAGCTGGGGCCCTCGAAGTCCTCCGCTGAAACTAAAAGAAAAAAAGAAACGGCACCCGATAAATAGACATCTGAAAAGGGAGATAGAGACACTGAGAATGAAGAACGAACGGTTGCAGGCCAATATACAGGCCGTTATCAATCAGGGGGATCGCACTGAAGGAGGAGGCCCGCCAACGGCACCACCACCCAAATCACACCAAAAATCAGCTAAGCCAACAATCAAGACCAACGCGAACGCCACCACCGCAACCGCAACCACAATCAACGATGAGATGATGGTGGACTCCAGAGATAACTGGAGTAGCTGCACCACGTCATGCGACAGCTTCACATCCATCAGTCCCTCTATGCAGCCCTGCTACTGTGCCAACTGCAGGCCCAAGCGTGAGCAGAACCGGCAGACAGGTCGGATTCCGGCACGTTGAGCACGTGGCGAGCGTAAAGCCTCGCATCAGCGCATGTTAAATTTCGAATTTTGAATTTTTTGACGAGTGTGAGTTTTTTTCGAGGTGTTCTCGCAGCCTGGATGGAGACCGGCGAACTGGTCGCTCAGATCGGTCAGGCACATGGCCAGCGCAGGGGGAGGTGCACAACTCCAGCTTCGTGTACCTGACGGCGACGGATGCCAATGCCGAGGTGCCCCGACGGAGCGACGATTCCTATCCACACAGAAGCACGAACAATCGTGCCACCCATATCACTGACCTGACCTACGATGTTCTCATCAATCAGAGCTCTCACGGGCTTATCAGAGGAAGGCGTGTGTGAATGGATTGTTGGTGTGTGTGTGTGCTCAGGAGGGCTTGTATAACAGTTATAAGGCCACCAAGAACAGATCACATACACTCTCTTTTTCTCTATACATACATACTTGTACAGACAAACGTACATGGTTTAAAATTTCCGCTGATTTGCAAATCTCGGCTGATTTGCAAAACTATATCAGTGTTGTACTATTATATATATATAGTGTTGTATTATTATATATATATCAGTGTTGGTTGCCAATATTTTTTATTGCTCTTTTTTATTGCGCGCAAATCAAATAAGATTCCCAAGAGCTAGACAAACTAAAAGAGCTAATCATGCAAAGATAGCTAAGAACTAGTACTAATTAGAGGAAAGGTATGTTAATATTAGTAATTTAAAGAAGAGGAAGGGAATTAGTAGTGGATATTATATGGTAGATAGAGCGAATTATAATCCGAGTTTAAGACCCTAAAGTAGAAGGAACAAAGTAAAGTTTATTTTATTTAATTTTTATTTTTTTTTAATATTCAATGATTCATTAATTTTGACCCTCTTCAGATGCCCTCGTCAAACTGTGATAGGCGAAACTTAATCCATTCTTATTGCACAATTTGCAAAAATATTCCCGCCGTCTTCATCAGATGAATGAATCTTTGTCATGTGAAACTTAAGGCGTTCCAAAGAGTTCAAGTGCATGTTGCATACTTCGCATTTTACCTGCCCAAGGCCATGAATAGCGATTTTATGCCTCTTTAGTGACTCTGCTGTTTTCACCTTAATTTTGCATTGATTCAGGAATAGAAATTAGTCGCTTGTATGCTTTTGTATGATGTGCCTCTTCAGGTTGCAACGTTGTACAAATGCAGCAGGGCAAAGTCTGGAAAAAGGTATAAATTTAATTTAATTTTACTAAATATTTTGAAGTTTCATATACTTACTCGCAGGCAAATTCCTTTACACCCCTGTGCGCTTTTAGGTGTAACATGATATGCCATTTTAATTTTGACTTAAACCTGCACATCCATTCAAATGTGCAGTGGTACTCCTTGTCGATTATTTTAAATCCTGCCTCAATTTCGGTTCGGTCATTTTTGGTGATAAAATTGAAATTTCCTCTGCCAGGCCCAGGAGGGACGGGGAGGACCAAAGTCGGGCTTTCGTTAATCAAAATAATTTTTGATCAACGGCCCCTCGTCCGGTGAGGAGAGTTCCTGCTCCTGCTCATTTGGAATGTTAGGGAATAGTTCACTCTTTCCTACAATGTCCCGTACTTGAGGGCCAGCATCTAAAACTGGTTGTTTTAGTTCGACGATTGGCGAATCCTCTATGGACCACTGTACTGCAGCCGATTCCAATTCCAACTTCCTCCTCAAAGGCACAGGTCTTGTATTTGGATGACAATATGGCCAACCTGTTCCTGCATGCTCCGGATGCTTCTAAGTGCTTGTAGTTGGTTTAATTCCTGCCCCCCCAAGTTTTTTTCTTTGCTGATTTTTCCTTCTCCTGCTTCTGCTTAAGATCCTCCATCTCCTGCCGATTCAGCTTCTCTTTCAGCCTTTCCTCAAGTATTTGCATCTCATTCCGATGCTGCAGTATCAGTGCCTGTTCCCTGAAAAGTGAAGCCAAAACAAAAGTATTCATTAAACAAATATATCATTGATATACATTAAAACAAGTGTGCATACATAATATTATGACGCGTGCCGTGACACGCTCGCTTCGCTTCTAATTAGGTTGTTACAAAAGAGAAGGAGAGGAACTCCAAAGGAGAATAGAGCAAAGAAGAATGGGCAAAAAGTATGCATATGTGTGTATGTTATGTGTGTCAAAAATCACACTGCAGGAATAGAACCAAAGACAATATATGTATGTGTGCACATGCATACGTTTTTTACAGCGCTGTCGAAATATACCCTTCACTTTATAAGTGTAAGTTAATTTTGCAAGACGCTTACCCCCAATATTAATAAACTTTTATTGTATATCCCTCCAATGATAATTTCTTTTAACATGGTATATTCGATGATAATTATCGGATATACTTATATAAAAGTACATAATATATTTAATGCATGACTTCACATTGGAGTAATTGTCATTAGGGTATTCAGCGTGCGACGTATTCAACGACTGTAAATAAATTTGTTTCACAACTCATAAAAAGGTTTTCGTCTCGAAAATCGTCCGCTTCGCACAAGTACGCACACACACGCACTTGCTGGTTCTGTGTGTACTCACACATGCAAGCGGATTCCATTTTTAGATTCGTACGCTCTCAAATTTGTGCAAGCGAGATGGCGCGAATTTGGTCGCGGGCTGTGGTGCTGAGACGTTCGGGTCGTGGGCCTGAGACGTTCGGCATTTTTTCGACATGTTCGATTCATGACGAGATGCGAAAGCAAGCTGAGAATTGCAAATGTATGTGTGTAAACAGACACGACAAAATTTTGTATCAATTCTTATTTTCCGAAACCGTTTTGAGTTTGTTTTGAGTTTCGTTTCCAGGTTACGTAAATGTGTGTGTGCCATGTATTCACACATACTGTGCTTGTGTGTGTGGGCTCTACAATTGTTTGCCGCTTGAATTGGTTTTTCATTTTGTTTTGAGGGCTGATGTGATGTAGCGACCTATTCAGGGCCGGATCAACCCTCAACCGGGCCCTGGGCAACCATCAATCTGGGGCCCTCCTTTATTTTGTATTTTTCTCAGTGGCTATTATATTTTTTATTCATTATTTGGAGTTTTGTTTTTTCAAAAAATTTTTTCTTTTATTTCTAGGAGGGCCCTAGGCAACTGCTAATCCGGCTCTGGACCTATTCCCGTCGTAAGACTTCATATTTTCTTGGTGGTGTTCTGTCGTTCGACTCGACGCGGGTCGGGTCGAGGCATTAACGAAGCCGAAAGCAAAGGCAAAGGCTAGCCTAAAAGAGAATGGAAGAAATACCCCGAGCGCCCTTCGCAACAACAGCTTTTCAAAACAAAACGAAAAAATATTTTATGAACGCTTTGAATAAAATAAATGTACACATCTATTAAAACATTTTCCAGATCTTTAGCGAATCTAAATTTCAAGATAATTTTAGTTTATGAGCAGAGATCCTTTATTTTTATATATTGTAATTATTTCCCACCCCCACCCACTCTGCCCATTCCTCATTTATGTTGCGGCTTGTCAGCTCAGGTCGACATCACGGCCAAGCTCGAGCTGAAAATTATACACACCCAAGCAGAAATGGGATTAGCGAGACGCTTTCTCATGTGCACCTGTTTTGTATAGTATCGGCTCTCTCTCACCTGCAGGTTGTTTTAAGTTGGTTTCGTGTAATTAATATTGTTGCATCCCGTGTAGATGGAGCCATCACTGGTGCGTAGGCGCTTTTAGATTTATTTAAAAGTAATGATAAGTTATGTAAAGTTAAATTATATAAAATATAAGGATAATTAATGATATTCCGAGTTGGGTTTTTTTTGTAATTCGCTCCGCGATCAAGGCGGCCATCAATAGCACGTTCGGACGGCTTGGATAGGTGGAAACCAGCACCACGTTGATTTTCCCAAGCATGGGGTTGAAAGTGTAATTATACGTCTGGTCCAGCACGGTATCCACGATTTCATGCTCCACCAGGTTCTTCCGCAAGTGGGTCACGTCCCACAGCACTGGGTATGTAAACGAGGCCTGTACCTTTGCCCAGAGGTTGGCAGGGCAATTGTCCTAGATCACTGCCAGTAATCTGGCCGAGAATCCCCGTCCCTCGATCATCGATAGCACCGTTTGAACGCCCTCATAGATTGCCTGTCTTCCCAACACGTCCGTATCCACCGAAACCGTCTTCAAGTATAGGAAATGGAAGTTTCCTCCTTTTAAGTTGAAAATTTAAAAGTAATGATAATGAAAATCGTAAAATTGGACGATACCTTTTCTTGATACATGAAAAGCCAATAATGCAATAAGCAGATAAGATCCATTAATATTATTTTTATTATATTGTAGTTTAGTATAGCAAGTAAATATAAAATAAACACACATATTAACAAAAAATATAAACCAAAGAACTGAAAGCCAATAAAAATGAAAGAAAACGAGAAGGAACGTGTGAGTCGCTTCTGGGGACGCGACTCTACTTATACCCGTACTCAGTCAGTATATACATTTTTGAGCATATGATTTTTTAGAGTTTTAGAATTAAAAAAAAAAATTGTACATATGGGCAGTTCCCGCCAAAAGGTCCACCAGGCCAAAAATCATAAAAAGTCAATAAAAACCGATTTCCATATAATTTTTTCCGGATATTTTTTTCTAAATTTATTGAATGGTAACTAATTTACTTTATTCACATATAATTTCATTAACTTTCATCCTAAAACCTATGAAAATAAGCAAAAGTTCACGTTTTGGTATTTTCTGGTATTTTTATAGACATGTTTTCTTTTACTTTGTCTCCTAGGAAGAAGATGATTCTTGATAACAGTTTCTCCTTAAAGTCTTTCTAATATATTAAACTACCTAAAACCATTATCAGAACGTTGGTCGAAACCTTGGCTAACAGTATATTTTTGGCTTTTATAATCGCGGAATTTGGTAACGTAACGCCAGTAACGTTCGCCAGATGCCTCCGCGGATTTTTAACAAACAAACAGGATAAGTTTTTACATTTAATAACTTTGAAAATTAACTCTCAATACTTCATTTATTAGCACAAAAAATTGTATACAAATAGCCCTATCCAATTCGCAGAGTTTTGCCATTTTGTACCCCAACCTCGAAAACCACTTCTGTTTTATGTAACGCACTTTTAGGTCATACTTTGGCTTATATCTTTAAAACCGTACGCTCGATTATTTCCACTTTTCTGGTGAATGTAGGTCTAACCAAATTATATTCAACGAGGATAATCTTTTTTCCAAATTTCAGCTTTTGACTATTTTTTTCAACATTTTGTCGTACGAAAGTAACGTAACGCCAGATAGGAACTGCCCATATTACATTTTTTTGCTACATCTGTTATCTACATCTACATATATTATGTATCTTCTACATCTAACATGTAGATTGTACATGTACCATTTAGATTCTACATCTCCTCCGCTAGGGGTTGCTCGCGCACTGAACGCGGCAGAGTGTGCGAGCGAGAAGGAAAATGAGTTGCGTTGTCGTTGACGGGAGGGGGAGGGGAAGCAACTGAAAATTAATTTCTTCATTCTGGCTATAATTATGATCCGATCTGATTCAGATTCGGCAATCTGGTATATGGGCATTCTCTCGATAATGCGTTTTTAGTTTTATCGTATCTTTAAAACTGTGCCTGCCACAGATTTTCGTCCTTTGTGTGGGCGGAAGGGGGCGGGGTGAAATTTTGAAATACACTTGTAGCAGTGTGATATCGCAAGAGTCTGGAAACCAAATTTGGTTTCTCTAGCTCTTATAGTCTCTGAGATCCAGGCGCTCATCAAGACGGACGGACGGACGGACAGACAGACAGACGGAGAGACAGATATGGCTCTATCGACTCGGCTATTGATTCTGATCAAGAATATATATACTTTATGGGGTCGGAAACGTTTCCTTCTCTGCGTTACACACATCCACTTTTACCACAAATCTAATATACCCCTTAACTCTTTTTGAGTACGGGTATAAAAAGCCATTTTACATTTTACATTTTTTTGCTACATCTGTTATCTACATCTACATATACTATTTATATTATACATCTAACATGTATATTCTACATGTACCATTTAGATTCTACATCTCCTCCGCTAGGGGTTGCTCGCGCACTGAACGCGGCAGAGTGTGCGAGCGAGAAAGAGAATCAGTAGTGTGTTTTATGGAAAGTAGCTGAAAAATATTTTCTTCATTCTGGCTATAATTATGATCCGATCTGATTCAGATTTGGCGATCTGGTAGATATGGTCATTCTCTACGATACTGCGTTTAGTTTAGTTTTATCGTATCTTCAAAAATGTGCCTGCCACAGATTTTCGTCCTTTGTGGGGGCGGGGCGAAATTTTGAAATACACTTGTAGCAGTGTGACATCACATTAGTCTGGAAACCAAATTTGGTTATCCTTATTCTTATAGTCTCTGAGATCCAGGCGCTCAACAAGACGGACGGACAGACAGACATGGATATATCGACTCGGCTTTTGATGCTGATCAAGAATATATATACTTTATGGGGTCGGAAACGTTTCCATCTGCCGGGAATCAAACCCGGGCCGCCCGCGTGGCAGGCGAGCATTCTACCGATGCTAGCGGCAGATCAGTATTCGGGCTCCTCTCTGGCTACAGGGAATAAAGGATTCCTTTCCCATACCGAGAATTCATGAAGGAAGTAAAATTCCAATAAGCTGATCAGCTTTAAGCGTAGTTACAGGCCTGAAAAGATATTGCGAGCCACTAAACATTAAGTGTACGTCACATCTTCCTTAGTTAAAGGGGATGGGCTACCCATGCAGCGAGAGCCAAGGTATACAGGTAACTACACCGTTGTATAGTTTTCATGCAACAGAATTCAAATATGTCGCACCTTACACGATAATATTATATATTTTCTTTGATTTGATTTTCTTTCCTGAAATGGATAGAACCGAACCCCTTATTGATTTCACTAACTACTCTAGGTAATCGTTTTATTTAACAAGAGACGATACAGATAAAAATAAAAAAAAGCCTTAAACACGATTGGGGATTGGGTTGGGGAGAATAACCCTTTCTTACTAACTATTTGGCAAATGAGGGCGCCCAAATGGTTCTGATACGATCTGATCTGTCTACTCATGGTGTCCATAATGCTCATGATGTTCGTAGTGCTCCGAGTGGTGGACGGGCTCCTCGTAGTGGCCATGCTCGTGCAGGTGAGACTCGCTGTGATTCTCCAGCACCAGGCCGTGGTTGTGATTTTTTTCGCTCTTAGGATGCAAAATCTTCAGCTTCTGCTTGGTGCCGCCGATCTCAATGGGATTCTTCACCAGATGCTGATCCTCCTTCTTAATGTACACGGGCACGGCATGGTAGTGATGGAACTTTACGCTCTGATGCGACGTGGCATGCTTATGCTCCACCTCGTGATGCAGCTCCGTCTCCTCGTGCTCCGGCTCGTAGCTGGCATGCTCCTCATGCTCATAGTGCTGCTCGTGATGCTCTAGGGGCTGGTGCTCCTCGTGCTCGTAGTCGTGGATCTTCAGGGCGTTCACGCTAACAGCCAGCAGGGCCAGTGCCAGGCAGGGCAGCTAAAAAGTGGATAGGTAAGGGCACAGCATTAGATCTTATGTAGATCCCATTCATTCCCCATTGATGTCACAGAACTTTCGTTTTTCCCCACAAGGATACATTTTTTGTTATGAATTATCCTGATGGATTCTTTCAGTTTTTTTTTTTTGTTTTGCTTACAATGAATTTCAGCATATTTTTAGTTGTTTTTGTCCAAACAAAAAACACACAGAGAGCAGAGAGGAGAGGAGAGCACACAAAAACACACAAGAAAAGTCACTGAGAAAAAAATTATTCGATTCGGTATGGGGATTCCAAATATTCCAAAAATCGTTTTTTGGTTACGCGATGCAAAGCGATGCGAACTCCTGGACGGCGGCTGGCTGAATGTGGCTCTAGCTTTGGGACCAGATTCGATTTATACCCCCAGAGCCCACAGTCAGTCACAGCCGAGAGCCGTCTGCACACACAGAGAGATGTGGGAAAGAAAGGTAAGGCGAGGCAGCAGCAACAGCAGCGCCGAATTAGCCAGCGAAATGTGAAATGTGCGGCGGCAACACGAGTAGCCTGCAACAACAATGTTGCAATATTGCAACAACAACAAAAGCGATTAACGGCAACGAACTTCAAGTCAAAGTCGAGGCAGAGCAAAAGACAGACACAACACAACACGACGACTGGTGGTGGTTGGGGCAAATATGAGAGGAGTTTGTTATAATACGTACACCCCATTCAGAGGCTAGGGTATATCTGATAAATATCTGATATTCGAAAGGAAGCATCTGCCGATTCTATGAAATGGCGGAGTATACATATATTCTAGATCAGCTTTTTGAATTTTTGGTTTTAAAAATTGTATGCAAAATCCAACCCAATATTATATATAAATATATTGTTACTTAAATAATTTAGCAAATTAAAAGAGCAGGAAATTGTGTACAAATAGTCCTATCCAATTTGCAGAGTTTGGAAATATTGTAAGCCAAGAGACCAAAGACCACCTTCTGCTGGTTGGCAACGTTATTTCAGTTCATACTTGGCTTATATCGTAATAAATTGTAATTTTTAATATGGCATATTATGTATATGGCATATGTAATATTTAATATGGCAATAACCTGCCTTAGAAAGTCTTCAGATTCGAGAACTATTTTCTGTGGCTGTGGCATCGACTCGATGCTTCCCACCTGCAAGGAGAGGGTATCAAATATTTCAGTACACCCGATTTATAGCCTTCGTTTTTCTTGCAGTAATTTATGGCCGCTGCCACAAAATTGTTTGTGAAAATTCGACAAAAACATACAGGTATATGTATGTAAAAATGTATGCATGTATGTAGATGCGTATAGTATGCGTGTGTGATAGTGGTTCAATTAAAATAAATATTATATTACGTATACGGCATTTTGGCCGCCACTGGGGGCAAGGCAAGGCAATGGCAGCCCCCCAAGAAGGCGAAAAAACCCGTTGTCAGTCAAAAGCAACAGCGGCACCAACGGGTTAACCACCCATGCCCACCCCACATACTCGAACACACAAACCAGTCCGGACAACGGGTGTGTTTGTGTGTGTGTGTAAGTGCAAGTGCAAGTACCATTAACGGCATTTTTCAAAAGGTGCCAAAAACAGAGAAACAGAGAGAGGAGAAAAGCAAACAATAAGAAAAACAAACGGTAAATGATTGTGTTATCGGAAGAGCGTATAGGGAATTCCATTGCCAAAAGGATGGGACGGCCTCTCTAGAGCAAGTGCGGAGGACAGGAAAATGACACACAAACCACAAATGGGAGCGAAACAGAAACCGGAAGAGAGGAGGCAAAGAACAACGGTATAGGGTACATCGCTAGAAGATTGATTAAAGATCGATAAAAGATCGATAAAAGATCGATCTGGTAATCGACATTCAAATCCAGCTTCCGCATTCAGCTGTCAGGAATGCAATCAATTCACCAGATGGAGTGATAAATGATGGGAGTTGCTTGCCATGGGGGCTCTAATTATGGTGAAGGGCCTGCCGCTTATGCAAGTGCATTCCATTGTTTCAACTAGAGCACGCAGCAGGGCAAAGTAGGCTCTGACGCCACAGGTGAAAGGTTAATGAGCTCTCCTCTCTCTCTTTGGCAGAGATTACCACTCAACAGATTCAAATCGAACGAGAAATAAGTAACCATTCCAAATAAAATGCAGCATTTGTTAGATAATCCACCGCGTGCATGTGAGCGACTTAGGAAGTTTGAAAAAGCCCAAAATTGATATTCGCGACGAGACGAATTTTGAAGGGGGGCTGGGCCTCCTGCATGCGAATAGAGGCGCAGCTGTAGCAGCAGCAGTAGCAGCAGCCGAGCACCGCTGCCTTTTCGAGTGCAATCGGGCGATTTATTGTAGGTTAGTATGCTTGCAGCAGGCAAATGCGGCTGGCTGAGTACACCATGTGCATTGCGCGCACACACATAATCCAGTGGGGAAAAGTAAAAGTAAACTGCTTTCTCACCCAACACAATTTGCATAACATGCCAGTTTGGGCCAGTTTGCTTGTCTTGGCAAACATTTTTATTAATTATCAATTCGGCGATAAATCGCTTTATATAACATCCCGCAATTGGCAGGAAGCACAGCGCAGCCGCTCGCCTTTGCAATTAATTTGTATTTGAATTTAAATTTGAATTCAAAAGTGCGGGTTCTTCTCTCTGATCGATTCTGGAACTATCGATAATGGGAGCGCGGGTCGCTGAATGCCGTTTAACTGTAAACTGGCTATGTGGAAAAATTATTTTGCAAGTTTTTTTGATTACAAGCCATTAAAAATGAATCTTGGCGATCCCATGTTGAGGGCCGTGCGCGTGCTCGGCCAGGGCACCTTCGGTCGTGTCTTTCTGTGCCTGCAGCACGAGGGCAGTCGCCAGCAGCGGCAGGTCTGCGTGAAGCGCATCATCGTACGCAATCCCAAGACGGAGCTCAGCCTGATCAAGGAGGAGGTGAGATGGGGTGTGTGTCTATGAATTACATATGTGGTATAAACATGGTTCCATCTCTCCCACCAACCAGATCTACATCATCTCGCAGCTGCGTCACCCCAACATTGTCGAGTTCATACGCTCCTTCAACCACGCCGGCACCGTCAACATTGTGATGGAATACGCGCCCAATGGCACCTTGCGGGATATCATTCAGCACACGGCCAGCCTGCCGCAGGATCGCCTGTTGCGCTACTTCGGCGACATGGTGATTGGTCTGGAGTACCTGCACATACGCAACGTCATCCACCGTGACATCAAGCCGGAGAACATGCTGCTCGCCGCTGGCGATCGCGTGAAAATTGCCGACTTTGGCATCTCCAATGTCCATGCGCCCAGCAAGCAGCACCTGGCGGGCGTGGGCACACCCTTGTACATGGCCCCGGAGGTTATGTCAGGACAGGGAAAGGTTGACTACAAGTCGGACATCTGGTCTTTGGGGCTGGTCCTCTACGAGCTGTGCGTCGGCCGCAGCCCCTTTGTGGCGCTCATCGATCCGGGAGCCACGCCCCAGCAGGTGCACACCGTGGTGGTGACCCTGACGCGGCCCAAACTCGACTGCCAGCTCATACGGCGCCTGCACAACTCCAGCTGGTCAAACATCTGCGAACTGATGGTGGTCTACGAGCAGGAGCGCCGCATCTGTGTGCCCGATATCTTCCGGCTGGATCCCTGCATCACTGCCTTCCTCTACAAGCAGTACTTCAACTACAACTACAATTAATTTATGATCCGCACTCCATGTTTGTACCCGTATTAATGTTTAGCATTTACTTTTCTAACTTAATAATTTACATTAAGCAAATAAACAGTAATCCAATCCCCTAGAGCTTCTGCTTCGGCTTCGACTGCTGCTGTGCTGCTGCTGCAGTTTCCGCTTGAGGCTCTTCACCAGCGCCGACTGTTCCAGCTGCTGCTTGCTGCGCTTGGGGGCCAGCGACTCGTCGGCAGAGTCCAATGTGTCTGCTTCTGCTTTGCCGTCCACCTGCCGCTCGCGACGCTTGAGCTTCTCGCCAATGATCTGCTGCATGCCCTTGGTGGCCTTGTAGTGAGAGTGCGTGGGATCGATGTTGTACTCGTGCGACTTGTAGACGGCCTTGAAGCGCGTGTCGTTAAGGTCCACGTGGAAATCGTCGTCCGGTTTGGCCGTCTCCTCGGGGCTGGTGCTTGGCCTTTTTGAGCTGCTTGCGCCGCTTGCGCTTGGCGCCGCCTGAATCCAGTTCCTCTTGCTTGAGGATCTTTGTCAGGCTAAAGTGCTGCTTCTCCTCCAAGCCATCGCCGTCGTCCAGCAGCAGGGCCAGCTCCTGCTGCTGCTGCTGCTCCGCTGCCACATCCTCGGCCTGATCCTGCTTCTTGTTTTTCTTTTTGGCCTGCTTTTTGGTCTTGGGCGGCTCGTAGTCGCCATTGGCGAACTCCTCCGCGAAGTAGGCATCGTTCATGTCGATGCCATCGGGCACTATGGAGTCGTCGCTGTCCTCGGAATCGCCGCCACGTGCCTCGATCTGCTTCTTGCGCCGCAGCTCCTTGCGCAGCTTGTTCTTCTCGCTGCGCTTTTGGATCACCTTCTCGATGGGCGTCAGGTCGGATGGCTGGCCCGCGGTGCCTGTGCCCGTCTTCTGCTGCTCCTCCTTTGGCTCGATAGTCGGCTCAATGTTCCAGGACATTTCCATCTCGTATTTGTGCTCCTTGTCCTGCTTCTCTTGCTGCAGGATATCGGCCAGGAGGTTCTTATAGCTGGCAATGCGCTCCTGCTTCGACAGCTTCTTGGGCGGCTGAGGCTGCTTATGCTCTGGCTGCTGCTCTTTCTTCTCCACCGCCTGGGGCTGCTCTTCTTCCTCCTCGTCTTCGTCCTCCTCGCTGCTGTAGGCGACAATCTGGCGAAGCTCCTTATCGGTGAGCTTGTCCACCTGGCCGCTGGAGAGCTTGTCGCCCAGTTCGCGTCTGTCCAGCGCCGTCTCGTCCCAGGTGAGATCCACCTTGGCCTGCTGCAGGGCCGTTGTGGTGAACTGGCGTGGCTTGTAGTTGCTGGCATCCGGCAGCTCGGAGCACTCGTCTTTGGGCGTATCTTCCTCGAAGGAGGTGTCGTCGGGTATGAAGCGGAGATCGACGCGCGTGGCCGAGCTCTCGTACTCGATGCCATCGCACTCCTTGTACACCTTGTCGGCGGTGGCCACCGAGTCGCACTCGGCCACAGCGTAGTAGTAGCGGAGACGGTTCAGCTGGTACTGGCGCAGCTTCTCCATGTGGTAGTCGGCGCCCTCCTCGACGTCACTGTCCTGTTCCTTGACCAGCTCCTCATCAGAGTCGTCCTCCTCCTCGTGCTGCTCCTCGTCACGCTTAACCAGCTCGGCCGGGCCATGAATCTCTTCTTCGGCCAGGCGTGCCTTGCCGTACTCTGAGGGGTAGATCTTCACACTGAGAATGCTCCCGCCGAGCGGTAGGAAGGAGCTCAGCAGTACCATCAGATCCTCGGCGCGTATGCGGTCCCAGTCCATGTTGCAGATGGCCAAACGGCGGGTGGACTCTTCGGTGGTCTCGGCATCGTTGTCCAGCTCGCCCCAGACGTGGTCGATCTGCAGCTCTGGACCCTCGGCACCTTCGTCATCGTCGGTGTCGTCGTCCGACGAGGAGTCCGTCATCAGGCGCCCCTCGCCGCGAGCATAATCAACGTTGGGGTTGGTCAGGCGTTCGCGCAGGTTCTCCGGAACTTCGGAGCCGTCGCTCTCCAGGGCATCGTTCTCGAGCTCATCCTTCTCACCGTCCACGCGTGCAATGGCCAGCTCTTCTGCCCGGCGCTCTTTCTGCTCCTCATCTTCGACTTCTTTCGTACCCGCCGCCTCAGCCTCTTTTTCAGCCTCCTCATCGCTGTCGTTCTCATCCAGTTCGTAGAACTTGCGCAAATCTTCGGCATTGCTTGTGTTGACCGGCCGGCCGTACTTGTCCACCGTGTACTTCACCTTGAACTTGTCATCCGTGAACATGCCCTGGAAGCGCTTGTCGATCTTCACCTTCCGCTGCACCTTGGGCACACCCTTGAAGCGGGGATCGGCCATCAAATGCTGGAAGCGAGCATCGCCCCAAATCCCAGTCTCTGCATCGCCCTGGGCGGGCGTGGTGATCTTGGCGGCATATGCGGCTGATGTTGTAGGTCCTTCCTGGTCGCCCTTCTTTGGCCCCTTGGCCGACTTTTCCTTCTTTTTGACCATTTTACGCACAGAATTAAGAACAAAACTGCAAACCAAACGTAAACACGTGCAGACACCGCAGAGACCGCAGTTCGGAGTTGCCACCCAGTCACAAGCCGAACAGATGTTGACATAAAATACGAGCTCAAATCGACATTCGGTGGCGGAAATTACCAAGGAGGACTAGCTGCTGAAATATATAAAGAAAATAAACAAAATAAAATCCAGTGGGTGTAGGCATTTTGAAAGCCACATTTTTGGACTCGCAATTCGATCAATTTGAATTGGCGCGCCGGCCATCATCTGGTAGCACCGCGATAGTCGGGTCGCTATTGGAAAGGAAAGCTATCGATGACGACTTTATAGTTTACATGAAAGTGTGTTTTTATTTAACTTTATACGCATTTACCGCCGACATCAGTTGCATTGCATTCGTTTCCTCCTGCCCTCCAATGATGAGGTCCGCTGTTGCGCGTGCCAGCTGCTAGTAAGCGAAAAGGGGGCCACACGACACAGATTTGGAGCGCCTTTCCAGCCAAATCACATGCCCAAAAATTTCATTCGCTTGCCTGCGTGGATGTGTTTTGGTATCCATCATCATCATTGCGACGTCGCAACCAGAGCCAGCCAAGACGCCAATAAATAGCAATCAGTTAATTGCCGCGATTAGGTCAGAACAGTCGATAGATAGCCTCATCGCAGAGGCCAGGAATAAGTCGGCTCCAACAAAAACAACAACAACTAGCCCCCAAAACGCACAGCTCTCTCTGTGCAGCACTCACACACACACACCAGCAACAACAGAACCCACACGCAGAACGCAGACGGGAGCGAAGTATGAGTAATACGGCGGAAAGTAACGGGAACCGGCGCACTGTCGACTGGCAGCGCTTCGGTCTTGGCGGCGATGATGACGGTGAGGTGGCCGTGGCCAGCTTTCGCCAGCGGACCAACAACAACACGGGCGGATTCGTGGACCTGGGCAACGAGTACACATACGCAGCCGGTGGCCACCATGCCTCCGGAGCGAACGAGATATTCGCCGGGGAGCAGGGCGATAAGCCTTGGTGAGTAATCAATAGGACCGACTCCAGGTGCCACCCCCGGACTACAACACATCCCTTTTTTCCTTGATCCAACACTCAACAGGTGGCGCTCGAACTTCTTCATCTCGCAGCCGGTGCTGTTCGGTACCTGGGATGGGGTCTTCACCTCCTGCCTGATCAACGTTTTTGGCGTGATCGTGTTCCTGCGCTCGGGCTGGATCGTGGCCCAGGCGGGCATCATCAATGCAGTGGCCATCATCGTCTGCACCGTCCTCATAGCCCTGGTGAGCGTCCTCTCGGCCATCGGCATCTGCGAACGCTGCCGTGTGGAGAGTGGCGGCGTTTACTTTTTGATTGCGCACACCCTGGGCTCCCGTTTCGGTGGCGCCCTGGGTCTGCTCTACTGCTTTGGCCAGGCGGTGGGCTGTGCCCTGAATGTGCTGGGATTCGGCGAGTCGATGGCCGGACTGGTCGGACTGCAGGGCAACAATTGGGCGGCTCGTGGCTTTGCCACCGCTGCTGTTCTTCTCCTGGGCTGCATTAATGTGGCAGGCGTCAAGTGGGTCATCAAGCTGCAGTTCATTCTGCTCATGATCCTGCTCATCTCGGCGCTGGACTTTATGGTCGGCAGCTTTGTGGGTGTAGATCCAGGTGAGAGATAATGTCGGTCATCGTCTGACCCTCGCTCATTTCGATTCCCATCGCAGAGAATGGCTTCGATGGCTGGATGAGCGGCAACTTTGCTGAAAATCTCTGGCCAAGGTACGAGAACGGCTATTCGTGGTTCCGCGTCTTTGGCGTCTTCTTCCCCACCGTCACCGGCGTTCTGTCGGGCATCAACATGAGCGGCGACCTGCGCGCACCCTCCACAGACATACCAAACGGCACCCTGGCTGCCTTTGGCACATCGTAAGGCTTCCCCCAATTATGGGGGTACCCTTTTCCCGTACCCTCGTGCCCACATAGTGACTCTCTCTCTCTTTCTCTTTGTCAGGACATTTTTGTACTTGGTGTTTGTTCTGTTCCTGGGGGCCACCTGCCAACGGGATAATCTCTACAAAGATTACATGATCTCCGTCAAGGTGTCGGCGGTGCATTTCCTGCTCCTGGCCGGCATATACGTGTCCAGCATGTCCTCCTGCTTAGGCGCCATGTATGGCACACCACGCGTACTCCAGAGCATAGCCAAGGAGAGCGTCATTCCAGGCATCGATGTGCTGGGCAAGGGTGTAAGTAATCTTTATTTCTCTTTGGATATATTCTTAAAGTTCTCTACCCTTGCAGCGCGGACCCAACAAAGTACCACTGTATGCCATGGCCATTGTGGCACTCGTGACGGTCACCTTCATTATTGTGGGCGACATTAACTTCCTGGCCCCCATTGTGACCATGCCCTTCCTGCTTACCTACGCCTGCATCAACTACGCCTACTTCGCCTTGGCCCAGACCTTTGACATACAGGAGCAGCGCGAGGAGCGCTTCCGCATCCAGGCCTCGAGCCCCAGCTACGAGACACGTCGCTACGGCAGCGTCTCTGATGGTGGCAACGACCTGGACCTGCTCTTCCCCGATCGAGTGCGTCACAAGAATTTGCAGAGTCCACAGAACTCGCCCATGCACCAGGCGGCGCCAATGGAGTTCGACTTGGAGGGGCCCAGCACCTCCACGACAGCGCCGGCATCGAGCCAAGCCGCGGTAGCTCAGGCATCATCAACGACAACAACAGCAGCAGCCACAGAAACGGGCACAGAAGATGCCACTGCGCTGTCAGTGGAGCAGTCGGCCACACAGGGCGGCAGCGAGGACGAGAACGAACCGATTGCACCCATCCGTCCGCCCATACATTCCAAGACGAAAAACTGGTACTCTGGCTACTGCAATCGCTGGTTCTCCCTGGGAGGGGTAAGCTAGTGATTCTGCCTCATTGTCATCTGTTCTATATCTATATATATCTCTTTATCGTTTGGCTATCGCCTAGGCCTTTGTCAAGTTGCTGGTGATGCTGCTGGTCAACTGGTACTACGCTCTGACCTGCTTCCTGGTGGTCTTTGTCGTTTGGTTCTATGTGGGCACAGCCAATCCAGCCGTCAAGCCCGGCCTGACAGCCGAATTCAACTTTTTCGCCTGGCTCAAGAGCGTCATATTCAGGTGTTTCGGGTAAGTGTGGGGCCTAACCCTTCGAAAAGCAGCCATCTAACCATAGCCATCTCCCTTGCTTTCGTGCAGCAAGCGCAGTCATGAGTATGAGCAGATTGTGGTGACGCCCTCATGTCCGGGCGTAGATCTGTCGCCGACGCAGCTGAACGAGCAGAACGAGGACTTTAGGCCGCGGCCCAACTACCACCACTCGTCCGTCATCGAGGGTCGCCTGATCGACGACATCTAGATTCTAGATATATGTAGATGCGTGGAATGGGGGTGTGGGGGCGAACGTCGCTGTGCAGCTGTAGCAAGCAATATTTGAGTGCATTTCTGCAAAGCTAGAGCTAGAGCTAAACTAAACTAAAACAAAAAGATAACACAACTAAACTATATACTTACATAACTATGCGATATGAATGTTTGTATTTCAATGTATGGATGTGTATGTTGTGTTCGTGTGTTTAAGCTAGGAGCTAAGGATATACTATATGTATGGTAATTATGTTTAGTCCAGGCACAGGCATTTACAACCGAATATTCCCCTTTGTCCTTCCAGCACAAGCAGCACATTGGCACCCGCACACACACATATTCATACCACACAGGCACGCACAGCGCACAGACAGAACGGAACGAAACGAAACAGAACAGAACAGCTCAGAGCAGTCATTTTTGTATACATATTAATTATAATTTAATTAACTTAAGTTTTTGGCACGCTTTTCAATGTGTTCCTTGTTCGCGTAATTATTTCTAGATAGAAAGAAAGAAAGAGAGAGAAAAAAAACAGCTAGAGCGTGTAAAATTGTTGCTAAATGGATATGTTTCCGCACACTGACAGCATTTTGGAGGAGACATATGTGATACTGAGATAATAAGTGAAACCAAAAAAAAAAAGGAAAAAAAAAACCAATTAAAATTTTCAGAATCTGACGACTTTGCATTTGAAAGAAAGAAGCGAAGTGAAGCACCAACAACACACACACACAGCCACACTCAACACACAAAAATTAAACGAAGAATTCAACACACAATTTACTTATAGAACCTAACCCCAAGGCTCACAACTGTATTTCCGCAACCCAATGAACAATAACAATGTAAAAGTATATCTAAGATCCCAGATCAGTTCTAATATAAACCACACATAATATATGTATGTATGTATGTATTCTATGAACTCACACTCCAGCGTAATCGGATCCCCCCCAGCAGAGATCAGCAATAACCGCATTCTATATACTTACACCGTATTTATGTATATACCATAAAACACACATATACAAATATGTATACACCCACACATATGATGTTTAAATGTAACAAAAACAATGCCCCTAAATAAATAGGGAAAGGAAAGTGCAAGACGACCCTTTACACATATTTCGAAAATATACCCCCCGGGCGTCTCATTTTTGTACGTGAATATACACATATACACACATATAGCATAATTAAACCTAGTTATAAGAAAGAAAGATGGGGGCATCCCAGTGGAGAACAAATCCCCAATGTAATAACGATAATTACTCAATAAATGTGTATTTGAAAAATTCAAGCAAGAAATTTGAATGGTACCGCCAGCGCATCAGCAATCGAGGTAATCGATAACTTTGCAATATTCATTTCAGCTGAAAAAATGTTGAAAAAGTTTTCTTGAATAAAAGAGTAACTAAAAAAGAGCACTGATCAATAAACAGTAAGCAACCTTAAACATTTATGGTGAATTATTGAAGAATTTCATTTAATAAATTTAACTCTTGAGGCACCAGGGATGGACACTCTGCTATCGGCATCGCGGAGTGTCTGTTCATTGAAAATTACTGTTTTCAAACGAGCATTCATTTGTAAATTCACGCTTAGTTAAATGTTTTCTCATTAAAGATATTACAAATCAAAAACATTTCGCATTAAAATCAGAAATTTGTAATATTGCAGCCCTGGCGCTGGCAGCCGAACAGCTGGACATTCACCCTAACCCCACAAAGGCAAGTGCAATCAAAAATTTGGGGGGCTATTTGTTAAAGTTAAACGCCGGACTTGCAGGACGCATGAAGTAGTGCTAGGATCTCCACCAGTCAGTCACATATACCCGCCATGAACAATTTGATGCGTCGAGCACAGAACGTGCAGCTCTGGCGAAAATATTGCGTAAAACAATACACCACAGAAGCCGCATCCGCATCCTCGCCCAGAGGTAAGGCGACCAGCTAGCAGCTTGTTTCTATCGTTCTTATACCCATTTCTCTCCCCACCAGGCAAGCCCAACTATGACGAGTTTATTGGCGGCCGTCAGGTCCAGGCTCAGCGCAGCATCGTGGTCCAGGTCAGCTCCGAGAAGTCCTACTCGGAATTGTATAACTACTGCAGTCGCTTTGGTGCCATTGTGGGGGCGCACCACTACTGCGTGCGGCATGACGACGATCTGCACTACATTCTGCTGGAGTACTCCACAGCCCACGAGGCAGCGGCTGCCATTGACGCGGGCGCCACCAATGGTGAGCTTAGCGGGGTACCCGTACGCTCGCCCTTCCTCTGGTTCAAGGCGGCACCCGGCAAGCGTGGCCCCAAACTCGCAGCCATCGCCAACAACAACAACACCAGCCAGCAGCCGCTCAGAGATCTGCTGTCCGTGGACGGCACCAGGCAGCTTGACCAGGCGTCTTTGCTCAGCCAGCTGCGCGGGGCGGCGAGCATCGAGCAACAGGTGCAACTGCTGCATGAGCACACCCAGCTGAACGATCTCGGGGTGCGCATGCGCTTCCTGGCCGCCCTGCAGGTGCAGCAGGCCATATCTGGGATGTTCCCCGCCGCGCAGGCCCATCCGTTTGGCTCCTCGGTAAACGGCTTCGGCAAGATGGGCTGCGACCTGGACCTTATCCTGCGCTTCGACAGGGAGACTGGCGGTCGCAGGCACACGGATAGCGAGCAGCCCTCGCGGCTCATCTACCACACCAAAGAGAACCTAAGCAACGGACGATCGCAGACGCAGCGGCACATGGAATGCTTTGGCGACATGCTGCACCTCTTTCTGCCCGGCGTCTGTCATGTGCGGCGCATCCTGCAAGCCCGAGTGCCCATCATCAAGTACCATCACGAGCATCTAAATCTGGAGGTGGATCTCTCCATGAGCAACCTGTGAGTATTCCATGCGGGGATGTCTCTGTATGTCTGTGTGTTTTGGGGTTGCGTCGCCGAGTGGCATTTAAATCTTTATTGTTCGGATTGGATGTGGGTGGGGTAACTTAGGATCTAATCTAGTGGGTGGTACTAACTATCCGTAGGGTCTCTTGTCGTTTCTGTACTGCTAACTTAAGTATGTGTGTGTGGGTATGGGTGTGTTGTGTGTGTCTGTGTCTACTGCTCAGCGGCGGTAGTTGCTGGCCTGCTCCTCCTCCTTCTTGACGGCCTGGACGAGGACGAAGCTCATTGTGCCACAAATGACATTGAGCATGGCCAGGGTCATGGCCAAGGCCACAATCCAGCTGGTTTTGCCCTCGAAGAACCAAGTCAGCTCATCCACACAGCCATTGAAGAAGGCATTGCCGCTGACCGTGTCGCGGCAGGAGCTGGGCAGCGGCTGATGCAGGTCCAGATAGTCCCAGGGACCGGTGGCGCCGCAGCAGCCGATATTCTCCTGGATCATGGTCAGCACATAGTTGGAGTAGGTGTATTCCGAGGTGGCCACAAAGCGACGCAGCGACACATTCAGCAGCGGCTGCAGACTCGAGTTAATTGTGCTGTACTGCATGGTGACGGCCGATCCGGCCACCAGGGCCACAAAGCCAAACAGCTGCGTGCCAATGAAGACGAACAGGGCCAAAGTGTTCTCCATGAGGGCGCTCAGGCAGCCGAGGAAGCTCACCGCCATCATGATGATGCTCACGCCGATCAGCACATACACACCGATGTAGAAGGACTGCGCCTCGAGGATGCGCAGCCAGTCATTGAAGCCCGGCTCGGCACGCAGCCAGACGGTCAGGGCGAACAATGCTGTGGCTATCATCCAGGCCACAATGTTGAAGCAGAAGAGCGTGTATTTGACGCAACCGATCTGCTTCTCCAGCTGCTCGTCAGAGGCTCCATAACCAATACCCATAATGTGGCAGGCTGCAAAGAAAAAGGAGACAAACAAAAACTGTTAAGAGATTGGACTAGGAAGAGCTACAAAGGTATGCCTCGCCCCAGGCATCAAATGTGATTCATCTAAACTTTATGCGCTGCCTTGGCTTCCTTTTGCGTTTGATTCCCCCTCTTGAGTCACATACCAAAAGCTCTCGCCCCTGCTCTAGCAGCATTTTTTTGTATTAATCACGATGTTGGTTATGGCCTGAGCTCTCTCTGTTGGCTGCCGCCTTATCGGAATTGTGTTTAGCAAATAGCGTTATCAGGAGCCGCCCCGCGCACACACTAGATGATTAATACCAGTTCCAATTGCAACACACTACCAAAACCGAAAGCAATAACCAATGGCATGGCCATGTAAGCCATGTAGAAAGGAGCGAAACTTCATTTAGAGCACACATTAAGCCATAAAGCCCGCGAGGAAACCCGCTTTTGAAACTCTTTCTTTCAGTCAGAACTTTTGCAGCATCTTTTGGGTTCCTTTGGGTATCCATTCTCCACTTATTCAAATAACTCTTGGAACTGCACACTTTTCCCCTGCAGCTCTTGGGCTTTCTTCTTATTGTATTTTTGTCACCTTGTTTTTGTTGATTTTATTTGGGTCACCAGCAAAAAAAAAAAAATAAAGTTGCGTGGCAGCAGGAAAGGAGAGCGCTCCGTTGGGTTCGTTCGTTGAAATCGTTTTGACCAGGCCACAGAGCCACCAGCCACCAGCTACCAGCCACAGCCAGAGATACGAGGGTGACAACATGCCTTAGATAAGATACTGAATGCTATAGGGCAGAACCGAGCAAAAAGCTTTGGGCCCAGCCTCGATAAGATTAGATAGCGACAGGTGGCGATTGCCAAATGCCACTGCCACACAAGGCGCCCGCTCTGTGTCGCTCTTTGGGGCAGCAGCACCAGCACCAGCAGCAGCAGCAGGTGAATCAGTTCTCTCTCTTGGGTGGGCTGGCATGCCAATGGCCATGATTCACCAACGCCAGGGAACTGCCGGACTCACATCCGGCGAGTGCTGCTGGTCGTGGGGGTGGGTCAGTTCTTCATTCACGCAATGAACTGCTTAGTAGGCCACGCCCGTGAATCAGACCCCAAAAATACTTACACTCCTCTCTCTCCATCTCTCTCGTTTCAGCTCTGGCTTCTACATGTCCGAGCTGCTGTATATGTTCGGGGAGATTGATCCGCGAGTGCGTCCGCTCACGTTCAGCATTCGACGCTGGGCGCAGGCCAGCGGACTGACGAATCCCTCGCCTGGGCGCTGGATCAGCAACTTCTCGCTGACCTGCCTGGTCATGTACTTTCTGCAGCAGCTGCGCCAGCCCATACTGCCCACCATTGGAGCACTGGTGAAGGCGGCCGATGCGTCTGATGTGCGTGTCACCGAGGATGGGATCAACTGCACCTTCGGCCGGGACCTGGAGCGTGTGGGCTTCCAGAGCCGAAACACGAGCTCGCTGAGCGAGCTGCTGTTGCAGTTTTTCGAGTTCTATTCGCAGTTTGACTTCCACAATCGGGCCATCTCGCTGAACGAGGGCCGGCAGCTGTCCAAGCCGGATCACTCGGCCATGTACATTGTGAATCCGCTGGAACAGCTGCTGAACGTCAGCAAGAACGTGAGCCTGGAGGAGTGCGAACGGCTGCGCATCGAGGTGCGGAATGCCGCCTGGATACTCGAGTCGGAGGTGGAGAACTCATCGCTGCCGGAGAGCGAACGCCAGGAGGAGACCTGGGGCCTGCTCAATCTCTTCAAGCATCCAGAGAAGGCCGTCATTCGGCCCAATATGTTCTTCAAGCCGCGCATGGTCGAGGTCAGCGATCTCTTTGAGGAGAAGCTGCTGCAGCAGCAGCAACAGTCAACGACAGGCCCAGCCTCAGCCGGTGGAGCGGAGGCGGCAGCGGCGGCTCCCCCTGTTGTCTATAAAAATGTCTCGGTGCGGCAGCAGGTGCAGAGCATAAAGGCGGCAACGCGCACAGAATTAAAGCAGCTGCGTGGTTCCTCCAGTGCGGCGGCGGCGGCAGCAGCACCCAGTCACAGTGCCAGCACAAAGAACAGGCGCAGCAGGTGATAGGACACAGATGTCTACAGCCGCCCCCCTGTGTACATACGTAGAGTTAGTCTGACCCCGTGACCCCTGCTGACCTGGCACTTAATTTAAGCTTAAGCCGGCTAAACAGAAACTGAAACTGAATACTGTTCAATATTGTTAATCTTCCCATTAAGGTAGCATAATACCACACTCGTTCGTAAGTCTAGGATCCACAAAACACACGAAAATGTTGAGTATTTTAATCACTTTTTTTATGATAAATAAAAACCAAAATTATCAGAGGCTATCGAAGCGATTTTGTGATGGGAATATCGAAAAACTAAGAATCCAAGATCTTGGCGCATCAATTCGCTACAATTTAAAATCCCCGGGCACGGGGACTGGGAGGGGGGCCGGGGTGCCCACAATGTACATGCTACAGCCCCATTAATTCAATTGGATCTCCGCATCGCTTTCCAGCAATAACCAAAAATCCAAAGCTGCTACTTTCTCCCTGCAAGTATTACTCGGAGAAAACTTTCGTAATTGCTGAAATTTTTATTGCATTCTTTCAATATTAGTTTTGATGGGGGTTTTTGATTCACCTCATCTTCATTTATGTATGTGTGTGGTGGGCGGCGAGGGTCTCCCTCCTCTTTCGACTATTCGATAACAAAACTCGAGGCGTGGGGGGAAATGGTCTCTGGGATGGATGGATGGATGGATGGTGACCAGGACTCGATCAGACCGGGGTATGACAGCCGAAGATGAGTTAAGGCATCCACTTGGGTGGGTGTGGGGGCCACTATTTTGAACTAGTAGTCTCCTTCATTAAATGTGATCCATCGATCCGTCTTTAAACCTATTACACTCGCAAATTGCACAGTCGTACAGGTATGTATATGTATATATATATATCGCTACAATATGCTTGTGTGTGTGTGTTTCGTGTCGTGTATATGTCCTTAATTTTGTTCCAATTTTCGTTTTTATTTTTGTTGTTGTTCTGTTTTGTTTTGATATACAATTGAGTTGTTCGTTAGAATTTCCTTCCCAATCTCCTTGGCTCCAATGGATCTTTTATACAAAAACATTTGATTCTAAGTGTATAGCTTTTTTCTCTCTGTATGTGTGCGGGCGTGTGGCATATATATATATATATATATGAATGCATTCCGTGTGGCATCTGAATCGTGGCTGCAGATGATACGATGCGAAATGCCATGTATGTCGCGTCTATTGCCTATTTAAAGGTAGTTTTGAATGTACATAACTAATTGCTTGCTTACGAACTTAAGGTATAGTTTTTTTCTTTTGTTTTTTTTTTGTTTTTCTATTATGCATGTAAATCACGTAATTCCATACAAAAATTGCCTTATGTAAAAAAACTTCAATTTCGTTATGTGTGTGTGTGTGTATGTGTGTGTGTGTGTGTGTCTAAGCCATACGTTTGAACAAAGAATCAAGGAAGGAAGAAAGGCAGAAAGGGAAGAGTAAGTAAAATAATTTACAAATCAAAGCGAGGGAGAGAGAGATAGAGATAGATAGAGAGAGAGAGAGACGATACAAAACGATAGTGGGAGTAGGCAGAGGGGATGCGGGGGGGTACACAAAAAAAAAGACATATTTAGCCGCCGATGAGCAGGGACATTGTGGGACCACACTGCAAAACAGTGGCCTGGAAGTAATGCTGATGCTGCGGCTTCTGTTTGCTGACGCTGCTGCTGCTGCTGCTGCTGGCGGTGTTGTCGTGTTGCGTCGTCTTCGGCGATGGCGGCTACTTTTAGACGACAATCTCAACGGCAGCCGCCGGCTCGACTCATCTGAACCAGAGTTTCAGGCGCAGCGCATCCACACCGTTTAGATAGTAGCGAAACAGTCGCTTATCACGCACAAAGCCCAAATTCTCGTACAAACGCAGCGCCGGCTCATTGCGCATCTCCGTCTCGAGCACCACCTCATCGGCATTGTCCGCCAGCATGGCCTGCAAAAAGATAAGATTCACTTCAGGGATCGGATCAATCACTCCTCTCGCGGGCGGACTCTTACCTCAATGGCCTTGGTTACCAGTGTGCTGCCGATCTTGAGCTTGCGATACTCCTTGCGCACCGCCAGCATGGCTATGTAGCCGCGTCGCACGTTCATATGCATGTCCAGCTTGCATACGATGGCGCCCACGTACTGATTATCGTGCGAGGCTAGGAAGCACAGTTTTGGCCAGTTGTAAATGAAATACCGATACGTGTATATCGAATAAGGCTCGGAGAGCTCCGCCTGGATCAGACGCATAATGTCCTGCAATACAAATTTGGGGCGGGGTTTAGTGTGGGACAAAAGGTCGTACGATTGGGCACAACAAAGCCAAAATGTTGAGTCTACCCACGTGCATTTGATGCTCGGCCTCGTATTCCTTGTAGACAATCTCCGTGGCTAATGTGGCAGGTTCAAGCTGGAGCTCAACTATGGGCGAGGCAACTGCATCTGCATCTGGCTCTGCATCCGCATCGGCATCGGCTTCTGGGACAGCCTCCGCTGAGGTGGATGCCATCATCTCAGTCCCCGTTACGACCGCTGTCGGCGTTGTCTTTGTGGTTGTTGCTGTGGTTGTTTGTGTGTTGGCAGTGGTGTCGCTTGTGGCTATTGTGGATGTTATGGTTGTGGTCTGCTGCTGATGCTGTTGCTTCTTCTGCTTGCTGTTGTTCCTTTTCGCTTTATTATTGTTGCTGCTGTCCACGTTGTTGTTGTAATGGCTATTGTTGCTGTTGCTGTTGCCGTTGCCGCTGCTGCTGCTGCTTCGGATGTGATTGTTATTGTTGTTATTGTGGCCATGTGCATGGCCATTCAGTGCTGGCAGGGGCGTGGCATTGGCCGCCTCTGCTTCCTCGCCAGCGCCATGGCCATTGCAGATATGCAACTTCTGGAACTCATGTTTCAGGAGCAGCTCAGCATCCGCACCCGACACTAGCTCTGCATCCTCATGGCCGCCGGCATGACCATTGGCGATTGGCTGTTTACTCTGATGCGCCGCCAATTGCAACTGCAACTGCAACTGCAGTTGCTGCTTTTCAGCTATTTTCTTCTTGTTTTTGCACTTCTTCTTGCCAATAGCCACCGCTGGCGTCTGTTGCGTCTGCTGTTGCTGTTGTTGTTGTTGCTGCTGCTGCTGCTGAGCGTCCGCCATCCTGGTAGAAGAGAGCGGCAAGACAGGACAGGAATGAATGAGAGCGGCGAAATGAATGGGACTTGGGATCCGATCCCATCCGATCCATCCCTATGCCCAAATCCAAGTGTGGGCATATAGTATGTATGTACTCACCCGCCCTGCTGCTGCTCCTCGGATTGCGACCAAGTCAACGCACTCTCGCACTGGCCACAAACGTCGTCGTCGTCGTAGTAGTCGTTGCCGCCGCCGCCGTCGCCTGAATTTCCTTTATTTTTGGTTATATTTTTCACAATTGCAGGTTTTTCATTCACACACAAAACCAAACACACATACAGCCGCAATAGGGTTCTAGTGCACACACACACACACGGCACACACACAAATGCAGAATTGTCGTTGCCTTTCTTCGCCCGCACTCGCCTATGATTCAAGGTGTGTGGTAATATTACTTTGAATATTTCGTTTCGCTAAGGCTATGTGTGTGTATATGGGTACTAATATTATATAAAAACCTATTTCACATCCCCAAAACTTCTGATTTTCCTTGGGACCTCTCTCGCTATGAATAAATCCACACTCACACACGCATACATAGCAACACATGCACGGGGGCGACCAGCTGTCTGCTCGACGAAACAGCCGATAGTTGTATCGATACATCGATATATGGCGATAGTATCGATAGCTGGTAGGTCATACTGGCAGCATTACTGCATTGCGTTCCGTTTCCCGATTCAAAATCAAAATTTAAATCCCGATTAGAATGCTCAGGCGTTGGAATTGACTCACATTCGAGCGCCGCTCAACTTGTTTGCACTTTAACCTTCGCCTACTTTCGGCTTGCCAGCATCAACAAAACTCATTTACATGCCTGGCCGGCTCATAAATCAAGCCATCAAAAGCAAATCAAATTCAAATCTTTGAATCTTAATTTGCTTGCCAGTAGGAGCATAGGGGAGGAGAGGGTGAGTCTGGCTTGGATTTCCTTCCTGTTTGCCTTGGCGCCCAACAAACACACACACAAACACAAATTACCGGGACGGGACGCGACTGGACGGGACTTTGACTTTCCCTCCCACCTCTCAAGTGTCGACTCAAGTGTTGGTTTGTCTTTGGAACAGGCCTGACTGACTGACTGACTGCCGTTGTCGTTCGGCTGTTATGCAATCGAACAGGGGAGGAGGAGTCATTCAGTTATGGGAAATTTGTCATTTTTATGACGAGTATACTTAAATTCTTCACAGCGGTCGGAGGAAAAATCATAAAAAATTTGACGACGCCTGACAGGAAGGATCTTGCACAATCTCGAGCAGTGGCAGGCCTGTCTGCCTGCCTGGCCTGCCTGCCTGAGGCCGCGTGTCTGCATACAATTTGCAGCTAATTTCGATGCTAATTAACAAGCCAAGCAACATTGACGATCGATTGATTGGGGGGGGCCATTTGGCGCCAGTAAATGGCAGCCAAAGACGCAGATTGCAGAGTGAGCTCCATCCATCTCCATCTATCCGATCGACCGCCTCTTGAGCAACGAACTTGGCATTGCGCCGCCAGGCAGGTGAATTGTTATGCTGACTGATTTAGGGGCCAGAATTGGGGCACAATTATGATGTACATATGTATGATGAAATCTGCAGAGTGACGTCAGTATACAGTATAATTAGAGGAATGATCTGATTTGCATGCATATGCATATGGAAACGAATTGGCTTGGATTTGATTTGATTGGATTGGATTGGATTGCATGGGACTGGATTGAATAATCTTAGCCACGCGATTGAATAATTTCTTTTGAATTTTTTTGCATGCTGACCAGACCCAAGGCAGACCGAAGGCAGGTCGCAGCTTTTGATACTCTAATATGCTCTCCATGAATGGAGATTCGACTCTTAGTGCTGATTAAAAATAGATACATATATACCGCGAAGAAAAAAACGTCCGTCTTGTTTGCTGTCTGCTTCACTTTTCTCTCGTTCGCTTCTCTGCTTTTGCTGTTGGCCGACAAAGAGAGAGAGAGAGACAGAGAAAGAAAAAGAGACTACGGCAACAAAGTTAAATCCGAAAATTAGCAAAGCAAACAACACACGGAGAAAGTGAATGGCCGAATAAAGTAAAAGCAGGCTGGCACAGCTTAACGGTGGGGGGAGGGTGACACACAGCCAACGCCTTATCACAGCAGAGAGAGATAGAGAGACGAACCCAGAGACAGAGAGAACTCTGCTCTCAATGAAGCCATCAGTGTGAAATTTCCTGATCTATCAGATGCCTGATGGACTGCCAGAGAGCTCGCTTCCCGTATAGCCCGGGCATCCCATGATCAGTGGCTATTTATTTATTTTTTTTTGTATTTGCCAAGTACCAAGATCACTTCACATTTTGGCCCCTGCATTGCTGCAAAGTTCCATTTCATGACACACAGCCCCTGCACTCAACCACTCCATTCCACTCCGCATCCACCGCCCCAGCATTTTTGCCATGTCATGTCAAGAGTTTATGGGTTTTGTCATTTTTGGTTTTTTTTTTTTTTTTTAAGCTTCAGTATTTTTTTTGGTTTGTTTTTTTTGTGTCTGTGGCTTTGGCTGTGTCTTGTATTATTTTGTGTTGCAATTCGGAGTGTGTGCAAAAGGCAAAGTCAAAGCGCAAGCGCACCAAATATAAAACACTTGGAAAAACCTTAACGCAGCTCCTGCCCCTACCCCTACCCCTAAGCTCCAAGCTCCAAGCCCCAAGCCTCTTCTGCCCTGCTCAAGATGTGGGGCCTGCTTCCCCTGTAAAAATGATTTAAGTGCGGCACAATTGAAGCCAAGCCAAAACGCAAAACGCCGCACACGAATTTGTCGCGTCAGCGTTAAATTGTGTCAAATGTTGTCACAGACACATCAACAACAACAACAACAGCAACAAAAATACAACAAAATAAAAATAAAAATAAAAAAGAAGATGGTTCCCCCGTCTGAAAGGGAGTAACCATTTAATTTTGTGTGCAAGGTAATCATCTTTTTGTGCAAATGGCAAAAGTAGTTACACATAAGCCCACAAAATAATTGTTTTACATACTCCATATGTCAAGCGCGTCAAAATGAAGAGATTTGCCAAAGGCAACCGATTGCAAAGACTTGCCCCAAAAAAAAAAGATGCTCCAAGTAGAGATCAGCGCTGGGCAGGAAATGGAGAGTCGAGTGGCTTTCAAAGACTGAATTTGCACATTTCGTTAATATTTTGTTGTTATTGGGTTCTCGGACTCCAGCTTCGTTGATTGCTGTTGCTTTCTCGAACCCAACTCTGGACTCTGCTTTTTCGAGAGCGAGCTGCAGTCGCTGCAGCCAGAGCATCATGGCATTATGGGTAGCCGGAGAAGAAATCTCGGAACAATAGCATCAATGGGCGTGACCATCGCTGCTCAAGATAAATATGTACATATAATACAATCAATAACTTCATGAACTGCTCTTCATTTTATCTCCGCACTCGCACATTTGAATGGCAATCCCAAGGATTATACAAGAGCGAAAGAAAAATCTTTAAAGTGCCATATCTGTGTATGCCTTTCTTACATTTTTGCCCATTAAACAGATCACAGTGGTTAGGCTGTTCGATTGGCAGGCGAAGTGCATTGAGGCATACGATCCACCATCTCCCAGTACCCCCCACCACTGCCCAGTCTGTCTGTTTATTATGCAACGAGAGCAGCGACCACAATGAGACAGACAAACGCATTGTAATCAAAAACCAAATCAATTTGGTCCCGGTCTCGGTCCCCTTCCCCGCCTTCCCCACCGTAAGTGCGTCTCGTGCGAGTGAAAGAAAAATCCAAACGACTTTGATTTGAATTTGTCAATTGGGGGAAAGGCGAAGATGCTGCTGCTGACCAAAGTGAAATGTCTGCACTGAAGATGGACCCCAAAAACCTGTCCACAGAATGCTGTTCACCTTCCCCCTCTCTCTATCTCTCTCTCTCTCTCGGCAAACGGAGAGTCGGATCATAGTCGGATCACAGTGTACTTGGTCAAGGCAAGCGAGGCACTTAAGCTATGAATCGAAGCTGCCGCAGCTGATGACAGGTCACGCCTCGGGGGCACTAGACAATCCATTGATTGGGATGCAGACTTTGGCACAGAATCGAAACGAATTCCTGCCAGTGGCAGCTTCTAGAGAGGCATTGGCTACCGCTCTCTTTTCAAGTCACACTTCAAAAGCTGACGACGAAGCCGCCAAGCCGCCAAGCTGCCAGCCGCAGCCGCAGCAGTGGCAGTGGCTCCGTTGAAACGTTGTCGCCGGGGCGGCCGGCTTCAGTACAACTCGAACGCTCATTGAAAATGGTCTGCAGGCCGCGCATGCGCCAAGCCCCGATACCGATTCCGAAACCGATTCCAAACATAAACAAAAACAGAAACCGAAACCGCAGTCGCAGCCAAAACGAAAATACAAAATCAAACTCAAAATCAAACCGAAAATCAACTTAAGGCCCGAGGCCCGAGACCCAACTTCAGTCGCGTGCTCGCATTTTGCTTCCATTTAATTTTTCTTTTCTTTTGGTTGTTGTTTTTTTTTGTTTCATTATATATTTTGTTTTTGTTGTTGTGTTGTTGTTTGTGTGCACCGCCTCGAAAAGTTGTGAAAAAAAGAGAGCAATTCGATTCCGATTGTTGTATTGGGTGATTTTTCGATTTTTATATTGGATCGAAGCCGCGAAGAGGCGCTGCAGAGGAGCGGAAGGAGGAGTGGAAGGAGCCAATCGATCGATCGGAGCGGACGGCAGAGGAGAGACAAGCGGACAAGCAGCGAATATTGAAAATGTAATTGGAAAATGCTTGCCAATAGCAGGGGGTCAGGTCTGGCAGTTGGGCGGGGGGAAATTGGGGTGACAGGTTCAGGTAACCAGCACCACCCCCCATCCCCCCCACCCTCACCCCACCTGGGCGGCTGCAGTTTGTATTTTTGTACCGGGAAAGTGGATGGCAAAACAAAACAAAAGACTGCAGCAACGAACTTGATTCCGATTCGATTGTGGTGCCGCGTGTCGGCATGTCGGAGTGTCGGAGTGTGAACCTGTGGCAATGGTGAATGGTGAATGGGAACCACTGCAACGACCTTGACCCAAGGGCGAACATAAATGACAGATTTGTCCAACGGGTGTGGCAACGGCCGGGGGGTAAATGGAACTATCAATGGGGAATTGGACTATATATATTTTCCGCTTGGGACCATTTCAGTACGACTCGTACTCGATTTGGGTGTATAAAAGTGCAGGATTTATTCAATGAAATATGTCCAATGGGAGCAGCTTTAGAGGGCTTGAAGACATTTCTGAAGATTTCTTTCTTCCTTTCTTGTATTTTATTTCCACTTAATTCTTTTCTTGTACTCTCACTCTCTTTGCCCCTCTCTTTATGTATCTTCTATATTTATATATCCTAAGTAAAAAATTGAGAACAGAAAGGAATTTCGAGCCGCAAAATAAGTGATTGTATTGTGATCTTGAAATATTAATGAAAATGTAGTCTGAAAAGACAAACAAATGATATATCTCCTTTGCGCCATCCCAGCGTGACTCGTATCCTGAAATACCTACGAAAATATTAGCCTATCCAT